GGATGTTACGTGTTGCGCCCCTGGTCATATGCAATTTGGGAATCTATCCAGGTTTCTTTTGAATTCTCTTGAAATGTCTTCAAAGGAATGTGATTTCCAAATCACGCGCTAATATGTTGTTCTCGTCCTGCTTATGAAATGCCTGCGCTCGAGTGACTTCTTCATAAAAATTCTATCGAATTGTTCCACGCTAATAGTGCTCAATACACATTGTTCAGTGTATTTTTCCTAGCCCCACTTACAATGTTGCGAGAAGTGAGCATGAGTAGCACGATTCGATTTGGCGTCCACCTTTTCTTCTGATTTTTCTGATATCAGTTCATTGTGGAAGATGTGCAAAAGGCATAAGCCTACGGAACGTTGAATCAATTTTTCTATTAATACTGTTTTCATTCGTTTATTAGATAGAGACTTGCAAGTTTCAGCGCTAGCGCTTTTTCGTCTGACTGACTGATTAAATGAAACTGACATGACAAAATTTCTGCTTTGGACAAGGAAACTGAGCTATTTCAGGCATGGTTCGATAGCGGTATCAAGAAACTTGGCGTGAAAAACTGCTATTTTCCCATGTTTGTCAGTAATGCGGCGTTGGAACGAGAAAAGACTCACATTGCCGACTTTGCTCCAGAGGTGACGGAACAGCCTTATAGCTCATTTGTTCCTTCGATCCATTATGATTATCGTTTATATTCATGAAGCTGATAAATGGCATCGCTCCCCACTACTTTCAGTATTTGAGAATTCGCCATCTAGTAGTAGTTTACAGGTTGCTTGGGTAACGCGAGCTGGCTCGTCTGATTTGGCTGAACCTATTGCTATCCGACCTACATCGGAAACTGTAATGTATCCATCGTACAAGAAATGGGTGCAATCGCATAGGGATTTACCCATTAAACTCAACCAATGGTGTAATGTCGTTGTAAGTTTAGTTTGAATTCTTTCACTCATTATTAGGACAAGTCACTCTGATGAGAGAAAAATGACCTTTTGCAGAGGTGGGAGTTCAAACATCCAACCCCATTTTTGAGGACTCGCGAATTTCTTTGGCAAGAAGGTGCTTTTCCACTCTGATTATCCAATGAACTTAGTTAAATATTGTATTTAAGGTCACACTGCTTTTGCTAATGCAGAAGAGGCAGAACAGGAAGTATTCCAAATACTCGATCTCTATGCTGCTATTTATACTGATCTCCTGGCTATTCCTGTTGTGAAAGGGAGAAAGAGTGAGAAAGTGAGTTCATGTTTCCATGCATTTCTACAGAAGAAGTAGCGACTACCGACTGTTTTGAATCAATTTCATAAACAAACAGGAAAAATTCGCTGGTGGAGATTTCACGACAACCGTCGAGGCATACGTTCCTTGTAATGGGCGAGGTATCCAAGGAGCAACGTCTCATCATCTCGGGCAGAATTTCTCGAAAATGTTCGACATATCGTTTGAGGATCCAGTAACTGGTGGAAAGGTTCGTTTATTGGAAAATTTTGTGTCATCTGAATGTTTTATTGAGAGGGTAGGTTATGGGTTCCTAATAATTATATTATATGGATTTCTGATAATTGTATCATATGGATTTCTAATAATTGTATTTTGTATCTACTGTGCTTCGTTCTCGTTTTTGCTGAACGACAACAATTCCGTGTTATAGAACTGCTGGCGTCACGGTTGCACTGAAAGCTCTTGTAGAATCGGAACGAATCTCCGAATTTGAAAAAAAAATCTAAATTTTCGGTGCTCCGACTCGGCGTGTCGGCTATTTTGCTTTCCTTGTTTTCCACTTCGAGACGCAGTTGTACGCGTGTATCTTTGTGGCTCCCCTGGTAGCTTTGGAAGTTCTGTAATTGGCAGTCAGAGCTCTTGTGAGCTTATTGAGTAAAGTTTACTACAATTATAGGCGTATGCATGGCAGAACTCATGGGGTTTGTCTACTCGGACGATTGGAGCTGTGGTAATGATCCATGGAGATGATAGTGGTCTTGTTCTTCCTCCAAGGGTGGCGGCTATTCAGGTAATTCTTTCTAGTCGACTTTGTATTAATGTAAGTAAATTCAAAGTGTTTGTTCGCTCTGATTACTATGCTGTGCGGCTTCTCTATGAGATTTTTTAGGCAATTATTCTGCCAGTGGGCATCACTGCACAGACTACTGACCAACAGCGAAAAGAACTTATAGACACAGCAGACCGATTGGCCAAGTCCCTAGTGAACGCTGATATAAGAGCGGAAGCCGATCTGAGGTATTTTGCTATAACTCTGCAAAATGATACAATGGCAAAGTTTTGTTTTTCAGAGAAAATTATTCACCTGGTTGGAAGTTTAACCACTGGGAACTGAAGGGTGTACCCATTCGACTCGAGGTAACTTCAAATTTAATCAATTTTGTAGACGCGTCTACGATGTTTTCTGAGACGTGCGCGTGTTGCGGTTTTTCGCCCAATTCTTTGCGTGATACTCTATTCCTAGCCAGTTAGATAAAAATAGTACAAACCTTCTAGGTTGGTCCCAAGGACTTGGCTGCAAATCAAGTTACGGCTGTGTTGCGATACAATGGTAAGAAACTAGCCATAAAGCAGGAAGAGCTCGTACCCGAAATCAAACGGCTGTTGGAAGTGATCCATGCTGAAATGTATAACAAGTGAGTTGTTTGATTCGATGAATCCTATTTTTGCTTACATTCCATTTTCCGCGCTTTTTTCAATGCAACTTTGTAGAGTGCTGGCTGCTCGTGATGCTCACATGCAAACTTGCTACGACTTTGAAAAGTTCAAGCAATTGCTGGATGAGAAATTCATCTTATTGTCACCATTCTGCGGTGATATGGCGTGTGAAGACGAGATCAAGAAAGCTAGCACACGAGAAGATGCCGATGCGGGTGCAGCTCAAATGGGAGCAAAAACCTTATGCATACCGCTGGAGCAGGTATGAATTACCAGTAATTCCATGTTACGCGGTTTCACAGTAAGTTGAATAATTTCAGCCAAAGGAAAAACTTCCTGACCAATGTCTTTTCCCATCGTGTAAGAACAAACCTAAATTCTTTGCTCTTTTCGGTCGCAGTTATTAGATCAAGGTTCATGTATCCTGTTTTTCTTTTGTTGTGAAATGTTTTCTTGTTGGGATGGGCACAATGCTGTTGTTATGGTTCACATATTGATTCGGCATTCCGCATGGCAGGCCATTCATCGTATGGTGGGCCTTGTAGTTATGACTTTAACCTGAATAAAGTGATCGAGAGCGATCCAAGAAAACATCGGGTGAAAGGGTGAGGTGTGAGGGTCTCAGAGGATTAATTCGGTTAGTACGGAATGAATGTAAGAATTCCATAGCTGGCTGGCCTCAGTTGTGCTGGTTTCAACCGTGCTCAACTTAGTTATAATTATCTCGCCCATCTCAGAATACAGCAAGCGGTGTTTTACCTGTCATGCGGACTTCACTCAAGATCTAAGCATACATTCTGATTTTTTTATCTGCTTGCATATTGGCGGTTGGCTTGTGATATCAAATTCTTGAATATCCGTTGAAAAGAAGTGAGCTTCATTCTCTAATCGATAAAGTTCTTCTTTGTCATTTTGTTTTCAACGCTGTGATGTAACTCTACTCAGGAGATCAATACTTTACATATTTTCTATCGCCTATTTTGTCAGCTTTGTCATGTGTGGGTTAGAGACTTACTTTGCATTGTTTTTTTTNNNTTTTTTTTATCGTCGCGTCTGTTCTATTTGCAGGAATGCCCCTGAATTTTGTGTCAGTAGATTCAGAGTTCTGCGGATTTTGTGGCGCCATACTTCAAATGCCTCAGTTTGCACCATCTACGATTGCGTGCAAGGTGTGCGGTAGTGAATGGCATGTTCCTGGTTAGTTACGTTCACTGAAATCCTTTCATTTTTTGATTCAGATTTACTTTTTGCAGAAAAACTTAATCATCTGGTGTGCAGAATAGAAAAGATTTATGAACGAACCGTAGCTGATACAGAAGGAGTCGAACAAGATGATGCGGGCGATGCGGTTGTGGAACATATATGTAGCAAGTGAGTGAGGTTCCATCGTCAGGGACCAATTATGACTATTTCTATCTTGTTCAAGATACATCAGACTCAATAGGTTGTGATTTTTTGGATTTTTGATTTAAAGTTTTTCGATCTGCACGGTATCATTATTTATTAATATTCATAATCAGAATAAAGGAATTAGCCTTGATACCGTCATAGTGGGTCCTAAAATCTCGGCGACACAATTTTCAGAGTGATGAATTTGTTGAACCTTTGGTGAAACTAGCGAAACTCTGGTCTTTCTATCACTTGAAAACTTTTTTACAGATGCGGGCACAATAAGGCGTCGTACTCGACGATGCAGACAAGATCGGCGGATGAGGGTCAAACAGTGTTTTATACCTGCTTAAAATGCAAAAGGAAAGATATAGAATATTCATGAGGTTATCTTGCATGTTTTGTTGTACATATGATAAATTAACTTGTTGGATAATGTTGTCATTTGTTATAATTCTGTTACATAGTCGTGAATAAAGCCCTTTCCTCTGCTATTTTTTCTCAAAATACCGTCAAGTTCTCAATCTTGCATATAGTATCTCTGCTTTTATAACTTTTTCTCGTCTTGTTTTCCCCATTCAGCGTCCTTATGCTATTAATTCAGTTAGGGTGAATAATGTCTCGTGGAANACCTGCTTAAAATGCAAAAGGAAAGATATAGAATATTCATGAGGTTATCTTGCGTGTTTTGTTGTACATATGATAAATTAACTTGTTGGTTAATGTTGTTATTTGTTATAATTCTGTTACATAGTCGTGAATAAAGTCCTTTCCTCTGCTATTTTTTCTCAAAATACCGTCAAGTTCTCAATCTTGCATACAGTATCTCTGCTTTTATGACTTTTTCTCGTCTTGTTTTCCCCATTCAGCGTCCTTATGCTATTAATTCAGTTAGGGTGAATAATGTCTCGTGGAAGCAGTGCCGGTTTCGATCGTCATATTACAATTTTTTCACCGGAAGGACGTGTGTATCAAGTGAGTTTTACTTCACTTTCCAGCTTATGCCGCATTCATACTTTTATTGTTAAAATATTGGGGTGACGCTCTGTTCAGGCCCGTCTTGCGCTATCAGTATTACAAAGAAGTTCTATTACAGGTTGAGTATGCGTTCAAAGCCATCAACTCGACCAATTTGACAGCTGTTGCTGTGAAGGTATTCATTCAATCCGTCTTTTATTTTTCATTGATGTTGATGAATAGTTTGAACAACTGGACTCTCCTTTTCAGGGTATCGATACAGCAGTAATTGCTGTGCAGAAGCGTGTTCCTGACAGCCTTATCGTGGCAGACTCCGTAACTTCAATCTACCAATTATCACCAACTGTTGGATGCTGTGCTATTGGTATGATTCCGGACTGCAAGTTCCAGGTTAATTTTTTATCTATGGAGGTTAAAAAATCTTTAATCATTGTCTAACGCAATGATAGGGAAGAAAAAGGACTCCCGTCAACCCCTCGAAAAGTTAAAACAAGGAAGTTTGCAGGTTCGGCGCGCTCAGTTAGAAGCATCTCAATGGAAGTACCTTAACGGGTATGACATGCCATGTGAACTACTGGCGAAGAAAATGGCCGACAAAAATCAGTACTACACTCAGAACGCTGAAATGAGAAGTCTTGGATGCGGTTAGTTTTATTGTAATTGCCTTTCTGGAAACTTTATTATACTTTTACGTCAGACCTTAACCAAATATTTTACAGCTATGATTATGATCTCATATGATGATGAAGATGGAGCTGTCGTTTTCAAGGTAGACCCAGCTGGGTACTATCGTGGAATGAAGGCTGTCTCGGTAGGAGTGAAACAGGTAGGCTAGAATTTTCGATTTTTCAGTTAAACAACCACAGAAACTGTCACCTCTACCGCATGCTGCGCTTGTTATGTGTATGTAACTTTTTTTGAAAAAAAGGAAGCATTCTCATTTAAGTTCATGTATTTCTTCTAAGATCCATCAGTTTAGGTCACCGCCTCTTCATTCCTCGAAAAGAAAATCAAGAAGAAGGCGGATTTGAATCACGACGAAACGATTCAATTGGCTATCGAGGCTCTTCAGAGCAGCCTCGGAATTGAGACTCGCTCGAAAGATCTCGAAGTTGTGGTAGTGTCGAAGAAGGACCAAACCTTCAAGTGAGTTCGAGACTGAGTAGAGGAGCAACGAGTTACGAGGGAATCTTTGCAGAAATGTCACTGGTCCTATATTTCTGATGCGGACTCCTGTATTAAATCGTTGCTCCTTCGATACGTCTTACCTCCTTTTTCTATTATTTGCATTTTTTGTTTTCCAGGAAGCTGACGAATGACCAGGTAGATCATCATCTGAATGCGATCGCGAACAGAGATTGAAGAGAAATGTCCCTAAAGGTTTTTATGAACTGGTTTTGTTCGTACGTGTTATCTGATGTTGATCGTATACACTACCGATGCGTATTGATTAATAATGCAACCTTAAATTCATATTTATTAATGTTGTACCTCTTTTCACCATAGTGTGATTGATAAAGTGATTCTACATGTTGCTTTCCCTCGTCGGTTGTGCTTGTGAAACACAGAATATCTCACCATTCATCCCAGTTGCTGGGCTACCGTAGCAATAAGCCAGCAGATTGTAGATGTCGGATGATGAATTCGATGAGGCAAAGCATGAGAAACTACTGGCCAGTGTGTTGGGTCGAAAAGAAAAGGTGTGTCACCTATAAGTGTTACCTTGTAGTAGGTCTATTAGTAATTTTTAGAGGTACAATTTTTATTATATTTTCACGATTTAACCTTGTCTTTTTCAGGCTCAAATCAGAAAATCGGCGGTGAAGATCAGTAGTGATGTGCTCATAAACTCTGTGAAACAGGCCAAGTGTGTTACTGTAACACATTTGTTTGCGATTACCCACAATGAGTAGTTCACTGTCTAGGTTGTCAACTGCTGTAGCGAAGAAGAAACTAGATCAAGAAAAGAAGGAAAAGAAACGAGTTGGTGCTAGTGAAACGGTAGCGGTACCAGTGCATCGGCAAGCCAGTGAACGAATTAAGGGAGCTGTAGGATTCATAGAATTGAAGTGAGCAAACAGAGCTGTATTTAATTTTCATAAGTTTTTCATGGTTGATCTTTTTTGTTAAGTATTGTTGAATGTACTCGAGAGAAAGCGAGGGCAACTGGGTTCTCGGTAGTGTAAAGGATAAGGACAATGATGCCCAGTTTCCACAAATAAGGGGTCGAGCTCCGTCCTTGGCCGAAGTTTTGCCCACTATTTTTGTAGCAACTGAATGGTTATTCAGAGTAAAGACTTTTGCAGAACCGATCTGAAGTCCGCCCTCTGGTGTGCTCTCATAGGTATTAATCAATTTCAATATTTCCATCCTTTACATGAACAAGTGCCACAACACGACAAGAAACCCTCCGATGATGACAATTTTTCTGAGCTCAGCGGGTGCCGAATTCATATAAAAAGCATCTCACTCAAATACTCTTTCTCGACACTTCCTATTCTGAAAATTGCCACATGAAAATGGGAATTCCAATGCCGGCTGAGCAGTGTGCATCGTTTTTTTTCAATTACCCTGAAATTCCATAGATAATAGCGGGTGAACCTACCTTTGAGAAATGAATTGGAAAAAATCGAAATTGAATGCAGTCACCCCTCTAACTTGATGGATGGATAAATTAAAC